TCAAAAAAGGGAACTTTTTTATAACCTCATTCTAAATTGGTTCATTTCAGATTCAGATTCAGAAGAGGTGAGTTCATGTATATTTATAATACAGCACATTTGTTACTTCAATTTCCATTTGTTGATTGTAATGTTTTTATTATCTATATAAATAGATAGCTCTGCAGAGTCTCAAACAAATTGTGAAAATGTTTTTGAGACTTGTAAGATAATGCATTTTAAAACAGCTTTTCAATTTTGAATTGACAAATGGCAGATGTATGGGATGTGGGTGTCAAGTAGGTGGTATCCGATCACTACCTAAAGTTTAAAACATTGTAATACACTGCACTGGGATTGCTTAAAAGGCCCCTAGGGTCAAGGTCACTGTTACTAAAAATAGAAAAAATATTTACAGTTTGAAACCATGGTGTTTTACCAGCCAGGTTACATCATGCACAAAATTTATTTGTAATCATTGAGGCCAATAACATGCTAGTTGGATTTACAGTCCAACATTCTTTTAAAGTCTTTGTTTTATAATTTATTAAGATAATATATAATAGGGATATAAACCAAACAAAAAAATGTCAACAGTGTAATATTCCATTGTGTATAAACTTAAGTATATACATGTTTATATATTTTGTACGTACTTTAAGTTCATATAATTATGTAAAATGCCAGTAGGGCAGTTTAAGATTTTTAATTTTTATTGCACTTATTTAATACACTATCTTGTAATTTATAGTATATTATACATAGATAGCTTAAAAAATCTAACTTATAATTTCAGGAATCATCAGATGATTCAGATGATAGCTCTGATGATAGTTCTGATGATACAGAGGAAGGACAGGAGGACAATCAGTGAGTAAACAGTATAAAGCTATCAACCAGTGGATATCACTGGTTGTCCCTTAAAATCTTTTTACAGAACTTTGAGTTGCCTACGAGTAAGACTAAAAAAAGGATTGGAGCAACACACTCAATACATGATATTCCGGTATGTACCGGACAAGGCGCTTGAATGATTAAATGCTAAAATCTTGCCTTTTCACCCAATGGAAAGAACTTGAAAAGGTCTTATTCATCTTTTCAAACCGATTAATGTATGATAATGTATGAAAAATGTAAGAATTGGTGAAAAAAATTATATTTGACTACATGTATTTATTGATCATGATTTCTGCAAGAATCTAGAGGTACTGCTCCAATCCTGTATTGAGTTAAATCCGTTGCTTACAAATTGCTGGCCTGATTAAAATATAAATTTTGCGCTTCTATATTCATTATAATGAAACTTGAGGAGGACTATTGTACTCACCCCACATCAACATTGGTGTTTATGTCACACTTTGGTTAAGTTTTAAATACAAGTTGGTATCTTAAAAGCTACTGAAGGGAATTGGTTGAAACTTCACATGCTTATTTGAGAGTGTAATATGATTTTGCTGTATAAGGCCTATGACTCTAACATGTATTTTTACAGACTTAAAACCCTTTTATGCTCCCAGAAAAATTTTGGGGGAGCATATAGTCGGCGCCTTGTTCGTCTGTCCGTCCGAGCAAACATTTTGGGTTTAGGGGCTATATAACAGTAAAAGAACAAAAAAGAACAATAGGGCCATTCCATGATCAAAGGGTTTAGGGGCTAGTAGCCCTTAAGAAAACAAAGAAAATAACAAAGAAAATAGCCCCTAAAGCCAAAATGTTGGAACGTCCGTCTGTCTGTCCATCCGCACTCACAGGACAGTAATTATGTGGCTAGTGGGACAATAGGTAACTGTTCTTTCTCTTTGATGTCATTCATTCGGTAATGCTTTTATGTGTGGCTATTTTCTTTTGTGTGGCTAAAAAGAACAATAGAGAGAACAAAAGATTAGCCACATAATTACTATCCTGTGAGAACGTCCGTTGTCTTGTCCAGAGCATAACTTGAAAACCCTTGGAGATAATTTGTTTAAAGTTCATACAGTGGTAGAGGTCATTGGGGGGTGGGGGTGCAGTGTCAAAGAACCATAACTCTATTTTGCCCGGTTTTTGAACTATCTCCCCTTGTCCAGGACATAACTCTAAAACTATATGAGATATCAACATGACACTTTGTAGGTGAATAGATCTCAATGGGTAGATGTGCAGTGCATAAGAACAATAACTCTTTTTTTCCTAATTTTGAGTTATTGCCCTTTGTTAATTTTAACACTTTGAACTTTGTCCGGAATATAACTCTAAAATTATAAGAGATATCAAGATGACACATTGTAGGTAGATAGATCTCATTAAGTAAAAGTGCAGTGCAAAAATAAACATAACTCTGTTTAGCCTCATTTTTGAATTATCTCCACTTTAAGAAAATTTTTGTCCAGAACAAAGCTGTAAAACTATAAGAGATATCAACATGAAACTTTGTAAGAAGATAGATCTCAACGGGTAGATGTGCATTGCACATGAATAGTAACTCTGCCTTGCCTTATTTTGGAGTTATTGCCCTTTGTTTATTATTACTTTTTGAACTTTGTCTGGGAAATTACTCTAAAATTATAAGATATATCAACATGAAACTTTGTTGGTAGATTGATCTCATTGAGTAAAAGTGCAGTACAAAAAAAACATAACTCTGTTTTGCCCAATTTTTTAATTATCTCCCCTTTTAAAAAAATCTTGTCTGGGAAATAACTCTAAAACTACAAGAGAATTGTGAGATATCAACATGAAACTTTGTAGGTAGATGGATCTCAATGGGTAGATGTGCAGTGCACAAGAACTTGAACTCCGCCTTGTCAAATTTTGTAGAAATTGCTCTTTGTTCATTTTTACATTTTGAAGTTTTCCGGGATAACTCGAAAACCATAAGAGATAACAACAAGAAACTTTGTAGGTTGATAGATCACATTGATTAGAAGTGCAGTACAAAGAACAGTAACTCTGCCATTCCTAATTTTGGAATAATTGCACTTTGAACATTTTTCCAGGGACATAACTCTGAAACTACAAGAGGTGTACTTTCCTGTGTCTAAAACCTTTTAGGGGAGCATCACCCGGCTCAAACTGGGCTCTTGTTGAATTTAGAAAATCATACATTATCCAGGCTATAGCTGTGAGGAAAGTTGATCAAGCTGTCCTATTGACAGCTCTTGTATCATGATATATTGTCCATATAAATATATATTTTTGGATGTAATATGATGTCACAAGTGGCATCATTTATAATGACCAACAAGTGTTTCAATTGACCCATGCTTCACTTCTCCCTTAGATGTCCCTAACTCAAGGAAATAAACCATCTGTGATGTAGCAATTAATTTGGCAACCATATCAACTAGTATATACTAGTTCAATATTGCAGCTGATTTCTTTTTCCAAAAGTAGGGAAAGTTCAATTTTTGAGTTGACAATAAATAAGGGTCCATTTAAATTTAACCCTTTCCTTATTGGAATCACCTGCTCAATTTGATTTTTATAATTTGAAATCGAAATCCCCCTTAAACTTGAATGGACTATTTTAAATTCAAAGCATGGTTAATTTAAAGTGAATTGGTCCATAATGGAAGGTAAGTTATTCCACAAATAATTATGTTAAGAGTACAGTAGAACTTCTATGAGTCAAACTTCGATTAGTCGATTTTTCTTGATGTGTCGAAGTAAAATGAAAGTCCCGATTTTTCCCCTATATATTCCTTATAAAATATTATATATGAGTCAAAATTTTATGTGTTGAATTTTTTGATGTGTCGAACTATTTTAATCAAGTACAATTTACCACAAATAAGTCCTTATCTTACTCCCCATATGATCGATTATTTTGACAACTTCGATCTTAAGACTATTTTCACACCTTTTCTAGCACGAAGATGATTTCCGATCAACTTGTGTGACAGGTGTTAATTACATAGCCGTGTGTTCTAACAGCCTTTGTTTGCTTTTAAATGTGTGATAAAATGCTTTAATTGTTACCATTCATTGCTGTAGTGGTATTTGAAAGTAAACAATAAGAACTACTTTCATTTGAGAACTTTCGTAACCCAGTGTCTTGTGATAATCACACAGGGATATATTTACTATAAGCTGTGTTATTTATCTCCCTTTCCCTTTGTTACACCCTTTTGTAACTTGCTTGTATACATAAACGGCTCGAAATTTTGTCATCAAATTGAGACCTATTCATGAGTCGAAGTCCCGATGTGTCGAAGTTTTTAAGCAAGTCCCTTGGACTTCGACTTACCGAAGTTCTACTGCATTTAGTATCATACATGACAATGTACTACACAGTGATTATATAATTATTGGTATTTTTGATGTTAGATACATGATTTGATGCAAACTGTCTATATAATAGCAGAAAATAAAGTGTTCTATAGTCATCATATAAATGTCCATACTAATCCTCTTTATTAACATTTTTTCCAAGAAATATTTTATAAAAATATCCAAATGATACATTTCTATTGCTTTTATCAATGTTTTAAATAGTTATGGGAAATATGCACATTGCAGGGTTTTCATTTTTATCTGAGGCAATAGATGCCCCAAAGAAAACAAGTTTTTGCCAAGAGTCAAGGGTGATAATTTAATATCCAGGCTTAAAATACAACCAATTTTAACAGCATTTTAACCGCTGATATGTATCGCCAAACTGTTAATAATGAAAAGCCTGGCGATTGTAGACCAATTCACTTTAATTCATTACAGAAATTCAGTGGGTTATGGGTTAAAGTTTTAATTTTTTTGTTTGTTACAGACCACTTGTTGCACCTCAACCTGTTCCCACACAATCACCGCCAAACACAGCCCTAGTTAGTGCACGTCACCTTGACACTTATCTTACTCCTGCTTCGCACAATGTTCACACTGTAGCAGACGTTCATCAACAATCTGATTCTTCACACAGGGTTACTAGGCAACAGCAGCAACAACAACAACAAAAGCAAACTGCTGAGTCACCTGAAAGTTCATCAAGGTCAGAGAGTAGTGAAAATGATGAGGATGGTGATGACGAAAACGATGAAAAAGATCCATACGCTATAGTGGACACTACAACAAAACTGCGGCAAACCAATGGACAAGGTAATGACAATCCTGCTGATACCGGTTTTAAGCGCCAAAGGTCAGGTGAAGGTCGTAGAAGTGAAAATTTCTTTGACAGTGATCATTCATCTTTAGATAATAAAGAAAAGCCATCTGCAGGGGAAGGTAACTTTAAGCTTATGCTTGTGACAAACACTCTTACTTGGTGTTTGGACTGTTTAGAATCTCTGTCTTCTTTTCTGTAGTGTGAAGGTGTTTGGGGAAGAAAAAGGGACAGCCTAATAGGCCAAATACCACTTAATCATTTAGTCTGACGAGACTGTTGGTTGAAGCTTAATTTTATAATTTCAATTTCAAAATGTCTTACAATAGCAATAGAGTGTTTCATATTCAAAGAAGTGCCCTTTTTTTCTCCCTCGTATGTGATATTTAGTCAGCTGGCATGTAACTTTTGCTTTTCACAGAAGATTTTTGTCTTTTATGAATATGGTACAGAATTTGTTGGGCCTATGTGTGGGATAAGGGTGAATGGATTTTGTCAGTTTTTATTTTGTAAACTTAATACCATATAAATCTCGAGCCTGTGAAGTATTTGATATAAATATCCTAATATTTAACACGGGGGACACCATGAAAAAGCAATGCCTGTTGTTGTTTTAATTTAGGAAAGAAAAACTGGCTGGTTTAAAAAAATCAATAAAGAAAAAGAGAGAGAAAAAAAAGAGACAGAGAAAAAAAGAAAAGTTTTGGTTTAAAAGTAGAGTTTGGGAAGGGCCATAACTGCCATTTATTTAAAGAATTGCCCCAATATATAGTTTTTCAATATATCTTTGAAAATGGGCACTCTCAAAAACAAATTTGCATCTTGCAAGATAGTATAAGGCATGGGGTTAAACTCAAAAGAAATGTATTTATATATGTTTGATATTTTATCACTTTTAAAAAAAGTACTGTGTTAGTAGATAAAAGAAGCATAAAGGCATAATGATGTGGTAAGTAGGCAAAAGTAGGCATTACTCTTTTGGTTTCTTTCTTTCATTATCTGGTTGAACATGGTTGTCTCTCTTTACTTATCTCAAATGACTTACAACCCTTCACACCAAATTTTTCAACATCTGTGTGCAATCAAGGTTTTTTATTAATTTGAATTTGTTGAAAAATTACTAAATGAGATGGTTTTTATAGAGATTATTCATTTATACAACTTCAAACATTTATATCTTAACCATCTTGATGTAAGAAAAAACATTTTTAGCTTGTATGTTTCAAAGAAAAAGTCAAGCTATTATGATAGCTATGACATTGTTGTTGCTGTTGTTATTGTGGTGCAAAAACTTTAATGTAGCCCATTATTCAAATAATTTTAAAGGTATCAATATGAGACTTGGAATACTGCAGTTGTAAGACAAGGGGCATAATTCTGAAAGCATTATTTTATGAGTTATGTCCCTTTTAAACTTGGAATATTTGTAAAGATTTGTTATTGATAGGTATCAGATGAGAGCTAATACCACATGTGGCTCTCTTGTTTAACATGATATGTTCCAGAAGATGAGAAAAAATGCAATTATAGACTGAATAGGTTGACACTTTTCCATAATCTAAAACAATTGGATAGAACAAATTTTTTTTATCATTTATCTTGAAAAAAGCAATTATATAATTGTATAATTTTGACTAGTCTAAGCATACTTTTGCTAAGCAACAATTCAACCTGTTTTTCTCACATATGTATATACATGTAGTACATGTAAGTGATTCATACAAACAGTTTACCTGTATAAAGACCTTTTTCTCCCCCACAACCTTTCATGCCCCTATCTACACCTCTTTGAAGCACTGTACACCCAATTTTGTTGTCTGTCCAATATGGGTAAAGTTTTCTTAGTTAGATTAGGTGTTCAACACAGTCGTCACCATTAGTTTAGTATTAGAATCTGTATGTGCAGGAATGCATCTTAATATTTCTATAGGGCTTCCACAGTCAGCTGTTTTATTTCACCAATTGCAACTAAATTTCAATCACATGTCCGTCTCTGCTTTGGCTCTTGTCAAGGACTTATCTGGTTCTTTAATGTGAGAAAGCTATCCAGCTAGGTTACTGCAGGTTGTTGGTTCCACTCATTTGCCCAATATTGCCTGAAATAATGCACAGAGGGACACATGGTGTCTTCTTCCTCCATTTAAAGGAATTCCTTTTAAAAGTATAAAACACAGAATTTAAATTGCAAACATAGATCACCTGGTGTACTTAAAATAGAAAGATTCACAAAAAATAATAAAGAAATATACTTAGAAATAAACTGAAAATCATATTTTTGTATTATTCTTAGCCTGATTTGAGTGAAAAGCATTGCAATGCCTTTCAATGTTGGATCATTTTTTACAAAAAACAATAATTTGAGTGAGCAAATGATCTGAAATTTTCAACACAAGTTATTGGCATAGTTCTACATCAAATTGAAAATTTATGTCGAAAAATTATTCCCAGTCCTGTCATGTAAAAAACTTCAGTGGAGTCCCTTTAAGCTTGAAAGTAGCCATATGACATTTACATTAGTGCTCGCCAATTTTTTTAAGCCAATCACCGACGAGGTTTTTTCAAATTTTCAGGTTTCAAATCTTAATAGAACAGATTTTATATAAACTGGACGTTTTATATTATAAAACGCAAGTGGGCGGAGCTAAGTTTCGATGAGCGCTAAAGTGCAATATACGCATGTGCAGAGATCTTGAAGTTTACTCCTACTAATCAATATTTATGCCGTACACGCACATGTATACGGCATAGAATTAAAAAAAAAAGAGGTTCATTGTAATTAAAACAGGCAAAATAACAGTAAAAATGTTTTAACAAAAACAACAACAACAAACATTTTAGAGTCATGTGTATTTAGTATACATCTACAGATACCTGGGCAACATGTATATTATTTTAAATATTTGAATTATTTGCTAAAGAGTAAAGGTAGATAACCTATTTAAATCATAATTGTATGGGTATTTGAAAACTTGTTAACTATTTCTTATCTCAAAGAAATGCACTATGTGTCGATAAACAAACAGGCTATAAACATGAAGTGGTCGAAATAAACTGTTAAAATTGTTTAATCAAAATATTTCTTCCTAATAAACTCCATATCGCCATACATGTAACCCGAAAATGTATACCGCTACAGTCTTCCAAATATGGTTATACACATTTAGGCTATCGTGTGACATCACACAGTGTGTTGGGTGGAAAAAAATTGGGCGGAGCACTTAAAGCCGGTTAGAGTGCATATTGGATGTTCTTTGTAAATAAGAAAGCTACAATCGCTTCGCAAGCTCCGCTCCTTTTTAGCTTTCTTATTTACAAAGAACACCCATATGCACTCTAACCTATACTTAGCCATGTGTACTGATTAACTCAAAATCCTATACCACAGTTAATTTAAGATAGTTTCACAGGTTCTGGTTATACATGTACATAGTGTTATAACAGAATATGAATTGTTTGTTGCAGCCTTTTTTTCACTCGGTAGATTTAAATATGTTTATACTAGATTTAATACTGGAAAATATCATGAAATTAGATTAACAAATTAGATAATTAACATTTTTGTTTGCTATCATATCTCTGACTTAGCTTTGTTTCTAACGTTTCCTATTCAGAATATATCTTTTTATAGATGAATTTCCCTTAGGAAAAGGAAAGGCATTTAACTTGCAGTTATTTAGCATTGTTTTTCTGACCAGTTTTAACCATTTATTAAGCAGTTTTCCTTGACAAATGTGATTATGTAGAAAGCATTTAAAATGCAGTTAAAATGCATTTAAAATGCAGTTATTTAGCATTGAAAAAGCATTGAAATCAGCCGAAAAATGAAAATGAGATGACATCATAAAACTGCCTCCAAATATGGAGATAGCATTTCCAACCATTTATATGACCTCATAAATAACTGCCAAAAAATTGTGTTTGCATTTTCAACCATTTATATGACATCATTAAAAAACTTTCAAAAAACTACTGAAGCCTTTATATGACCTCATAAATAACTGCAAAAAAACTTTCAAAAAACTGTTGCATTTATTTGAGCTAATATAATACTGTTAACAACTGTTCACATCTGAAAATAAATGTACATGTACATGGAATTTCTATTACATTGACACATATGTATGTACATAGATTTCTTACAAATCACCAAATCCCCTAACTTTTCATGAACTCAAAAGCATTGCCCTTTTAGTTTCATTAGGCAACCAGTTTGATTACTGTGTGGACTTAAAGTTTTGGACACTTTTTAATGTATTTAACATTAGAAATTGCTAAGACGAACAACAGACATATTGAACTGTCAAAAATCTCACAATAAGCCTCTGGATCTTTTGAACTTTGAGATTAAAGGCCATATATGCGTTTGTAATGAGCAAAAATGTTAAGTACAAAAATCTTATCCAATGACATTGTTATGAACAAAAACGAAAAAGAAATCATAGTATTTCTCTTCTAAAATGGTCAAAATGTTGAAAAACACCACATAATTCTTGTAACGCCTACAAGACGTTACACCAAATAGTGCTTACATTTTAAAAGCATTAAAAGATTGGATAACACCCTTGCAGAAATTACTGGTAATTTACCAGGATTTTACTAGGATTTTAGTGGGAAATCCCAGGAATATTTACAGGGATAATTCCTAGGAAATGCAAGGAAATCTGAGGAATTTCCAGTTACTGGCTGGCGGTAATTGGAACGACTGAAAACTACTGGTAATAACTAGAAAAACTAGAAATGTGTCATCATGCCACGGATGCCCCCGCATGCAGCCAAAATTTCAGATGGTGCATTAATTTTTTTTTTTCATTTTAAGTTCAAAGCCCTTAAAACTTTTCAATGTTAACACAAACCATTTCCATACAACGTTCAAGGCACTGAAATTATTTAGTCTTAACCTTTAGAAAAAGCATATTGCATATTTGTAGCCAAAATAATGGCCAAAGAATGAGTGCTGAAACTGAAAGTTCAAAATTTTTCCAACATTCAGGAAAGATAAGTTTGTCTAAAATCATTGAACCATGACCAAATTCAAACTTAAACTGCTTATTCCTAAGATGTATCTATATTATTTTCAAAGTGAAAGAGACATAACTCTGCCAAAAAACCATCAAACCATGACCAAATTCAAACTTGACCTGCCCATTCCTTTGACATATCCATATGTCAAATTAAAATTGAATATGTAACACTGTTAGGTAGATAATGAACAGAAACTGTAAATTTCATATTATTTTCAAAGTGAAAGGGGCATTACTCTGCCAAAAATCATTGAACCATGACCAAATATGAACTTGACCTGGGCATTCCAAAAAAATATCCATATGTCAAATTTGAGTTGAATGTGTTGTACCATTGGGGAGATAATAAACGGAAACTGAAAATTTCATATTACTTTCAAAGTGAAAGGGGCATAACTCTGCCAAAAATCATTGAACCATGACCAAATTTGAATTTGACCTGCGCATTCCATTGACGCATCCATATGTCACGTTTGAGTTGAATGTGTTGTACTTTGAGGGAGATAATGAACGGAAACTGAAAATTTCATATTATTTTCAAAGTAAAAGGGGCATAACTCTGCCAAAAATCATCGAACCACGACCAAATTTGAACTTGACCTGCGCATTCCTTTGACGCATCAATATGTCACGTTTGAGTTGAATGTGTTGTACCTTGAGGGAGATAATGAACGGAAACTGAAAATTTAATATTATTTTCAAAGTGAAAGGGGCATAACTCTGCCAAAAATCATCGAACCATGACCAAATTCAAACTTGACCTGTATTTTCTCATGACATATCCATATGTCAAGTTTGAGTTGATTGTGTTGTACTGTTGGGGAGATAATGAACAGAAACTGAAAATTTCATATTATTTTCAAAGTAAAAGGGGCATAACTCTGCCAAAAATCATCGAACCATAACCAAATTCGAACTTGACCTGTATTTTCTCATAACATATCCATATGTCAAGTTTGAGTTGAATGTGTCCAACCGTTCTTGAGATAATGAACGGAAACTGAAATTTCATATTATTTTCAAAGTAAAAGGGGCATAACTCTGCCAAAAATCATCGAACCATGACCAAATTCGAACTTGACCTGTATTTTCTCATGACATATCCATATGTTATATTTGAGTTGAATGTGCCCAACCGTTCTTAAGATAATGAACGGAAACTGATGATGACGGAATGACAGAATGACGGAAGGACGGAAGGACGGAAGGATGGAAGGACGGAAGGACGGAAGGACGGAATGACGGAACAGGGTAACACTATATGCCCCGGCCATTACATGGCGGGGGCATAAAAATTTGAAACCAGGAATGCCTTAGATCGACTTGTACTGGAAAATCCTAATTACTGAGAATGACCTGCCCACGGTATTTGGAACATTTTTCTAGTCAATCCCAGGCATTTCAAAGACCTATGATAATACCAGTAACTCCTGGTATTTTTACAATCTTAGGAATGACTGAGAATGACCTGCCCACGGTATTTGGAACATTTTTTCTAGTAATTCCTTGGCATTTCAAAGAACTTGGATATCCCAGACGTTCCTGGTATTTCCATGATCTAAGGAATGGCTGGAATAGCCTAGGATTGCATTGTACTGAAATTTCTAGCAACTGGGTATGACTGGACCACAGCTGAATTACTGTTACTAGGGCCCCCAAAGGATCATTACGATTAAAATCAAATAATCAGTTTTGTAGAAGATATCATTACAAGAAATTGCTGACAATACAAGATGCCATTGGACACAGGGCAATCACATTACTTCACATAAGCACATTGTACTGATGTGAACTAAAATGTGCACTTTTAAATCCAGTTAAATGACAAGCAGTTCAACATCAGTCATAAGCATTAGCAAACTATTAAATTTAATAAAAAGCATGATTGCATATGAAACAAAGTATTTTCCTTACAGTTTAATTGTTTTTATATTGTTAAGACACACTTCTTTAGATATATATCATTGTAGTTACTGGAATGCAATGAGCTTTGGCAATAACACTTGACTTAAGATTCCTTTTTTTAAAACAGTGTAACATGTGACACCTCTTTGAATTTAGCACTAAAAGTTAAAACATTATAATACTTGACTAGGTCACTCCTAGATTTTAATTTGCTTTCATCATTTTCTTAACTGATTGAATGAGGGACATCACTTAAACAGTCTAAGAAACGTCACTTAAACAGTACAAAACATGACGAAAGAAACCTCCAGTATTACATGCAACTCCTACATTTTCTATTGCTGTCTTCTGAAATGAGTAAATCCTTGCTGTAAGATCCAATTTTTGCCGGTTTAATAATTTTCTTGTCATCAAATCTTTCATACTGAGAATCGCAGTAATCCACTGAATTGATGATCTCTGGTAATCAAATGAAATGTTGATCTTTGGTAATCCAACGACTTCTTTGCATTTTCACAGATATATATATATATATACAACAGATAGGAAGCTCTAAAAATAGATAATAGTCAGATTTAGACCCACAATCCTTTGCAGGCTTTGGTGATAATTGGGTTTTCTCGATAGTCTCCAATTTTCGCACTCTCGTTAAACTTGGACGATATCCATGAATTATTGTTTACATACCCCGACATAGATTTTCATCAGAGAAATATTTGTATAGAAAGTGTGTATAGTACCTTTTACAATAAATAACTATTGCTTTCTATTTAAGCAAAAAAATGTTTCATCTTCCTCCGGGAATCCAATATGACGGTGTTTTGGCTATTTTTACCCAGGATGCATCAAATCTCTGAAAATCCCGCAACATATGATAACTTATAAGAACACAATTCTGCCAATACTGAATTTAACTGTGTGACATCACAGTTTCTTCTCCATGTTTATTTAGCTCCATGGCATTTTGTACAACTTGCCCTCTTTCAATTACCTGAAGAATTTATGACAGTTTCTTTATCAAACGTTTTTGACCCGTTTTATAGATTTAAGCTCTCACTCTCCTCAGCTTTGAACATCATCCACAAATTAGTTGAACTCCTCCCTTTGTGGCCTTGTGGTACCAATTCTTATCTGAAATCAAACAAATACATTTCTCTACATATGGAAATATACCAAGATATTTGAAAACGAAATAAATACAAATCACTTGGCAGGACGTGAAGTGGATGCACACTTGGTTCAAGCAAGTAAAATCATTGCAAACTTGACAAAATGGTTTCCTTTTTTTAAATATCTACAAAACTCTCACATACTTTTTTCAGGTAAGTGGGTTTGTATGTTATTTGATTTCTTTTTAAATGGCCATTCATGAAGGACGTGTTTATGACACACTCTGTTCTGGGCCTCAGATTTGTAGCTTTTTGGTTAAACAAAGCTATTGAAGTTATAAACTGGTCATGTACATATTTTGAAATTTGATAAGTGAAAATCCAGGGCGGTTTTTATGCTCATTTATTCACATAGGTAAGTTTTGAAGTTCACCAAAAAAAGCAAACTAATGAAAATATACTGTGCATTTTTTTTATTATTATTTATTATCATTGTTATTCCTGTAATTTAGTGATGTTGATCATTATTTCTGTAAAGTTGGTTGATTCTAACTCAAGCACTGAAGGAACAAATAACATAACATAATGAAACGGTTTTTACGAAGTCAAGGGAAATAACTCTACAAATACGGGATAAATCCACAAGCGGAACCCAAGGTGCACAACTACATATGCTGACCAACCTTCCCTTAAGGTTTAATGACTCTATGTCAAATCCTTTTTGATTTACATGCAAAAAGTTGAAAATTGCAAAAATTTTCTAAGTCAAGGTCAATAACTCTAAAAAAATAAAATAAATCCACATGAAAATATCCAGTGCACAACTTCACATGCTGATCAACATTCCTGCAAAGTTTCATGACTCTATGTCAAACCCATTTTGAGTTACATGCGACACAAGTTGAAAATTGCAAAATTTTACTAAGTCAAGGGCAATAACTCTAAAAATACTATATAAATCCAGACAAAAATACCAAGGTGCACAACTACACATGCTGATCAACATTCCTGTAAAGTTTCATGACTCTAGGTCAAATACTTTTTGAGTTACATCCGACACAAAAGAGAACGGACGGACAAGGGTAAATCTAAATGCCCGCCACTAAAGTGGGGCCACAAAAATATCTTGTTCAAGCGTGTTCAACCACTTCATGTCCTGCCCCATAATACAATAACAGATTACAGTCATCGAATTTAGCACTGGCCCGGTGGCCCATGACCAGTGTAAATTTTAAGAGCTAAATATATATAGTAGTAATAAATTCAAAACTGGAATTCGGACGAGTATATTCAAAAAATCTTAAATTCAATGACTGAGAGGCAATGTATTCAGGTTAGTGCTTAAAGTATGACACTGTTTGTGCTATTTTTGTTCTTTGCAAATCATCATGTGGGATTTATTTTAATGGACCAGTATTCAGATTCTCTAGTATAGGCTTAGACAGTGTCAAAGACAAACCATTTTAGCTAGGCTGTCACTTGGACCACTGAATGACCGATAAATTTTGGTGGCCTAGACAACTTTTTTTAGTGGTCCAATAATTCCTATACATGCACAGAAATCTAGAGATTAAATCACACACAAACACACACATAAATCAAAAACAAACAGAAAACATGATTTCTGTTTCAAATAAATTTTTGGAGGTATCTTATTGTGATTTAAAAATACAGTCTGTCAGTAATGTGTTATTTTAAAAATACAGACATGATGTTGGCTTATTGAACATCATCTTTTCTTGTTGATCTTGTTCTAAATATATAACTAGATCTACATAAATTAATGGTCATATAAAAATATTGTTTCTTTATGAAAAACTTTTTTTTCTAATACAAGTTCAAAATTGCTAAGGTAGTGAACTGTCTGCATACTAGGGTATTGCACTGTCTGGGTGTAAAAAAACTTTCTAGCCGTGCATTTTTTCAAAACAATATTTTAAATTTCAATATTTTTAAAGGGCATAAGCAAATAATTTCCTGCAGGGAAGCACAGCCATATTTAACGATGCTTTGTTTTTTATTAGTCCCCTACCGGTTTACCGGAGGGGACTTTAGGTTTACCCTCCGTCCGTCTGTCCGTCCGTCCGTCTGTCCGTCCGTCCGTCTGTCAGTCCGTCAGTCCGTCCGTCCACAAAACTGGATCCCGCGATAACTTGAAAAGTACTGAAAATATTTTTATGAAACTTGGTATATGGATAGATGGCAGTATGGAGATTATGCACGTCTTTTTCTTTTCTTCCTATGTTGAAAATTCTGGTTGCTATGGCAACAAATAGGCTGAAAATATGGCAAATTTTACACATAAACTGGATCCAGTGATAACGCAAAAAGTACTGGAAATATTTTTATGAAACTTGACATATGGGTAGATGGCAGTCTTGAGATTATGCACGTCTTTTTCTTTTCTTCCTATGTTGAAAATTCTGGTTGCTATGGCAACAAATAGGCTGAAAATATGGCAAATTTTACACATAAACTGGATCCAGTGATAAAGCAAAAAGTACTGGAAATATTCTTATGAAACTTGACATATGGGTAGATGGCAGTCTTGAGATTATGCACGTCTTTTTCTTTTCTTCCTATGTTGAAAATTCTGGTTGCTATGGCAACACATAGACTGAAAATATGGCAAATTTTACACATAAACTGAATCCAGTGATAACTCAAAAAGTACTGGAAAATATTTTATGAAACTTGACATATGGGTAGATGGCAGTCTTGAGATTATGCATGTCTTATCTGTTCTTCCTATTTTGAAAAAATATCAGTTGCCTTGGCAACAAATAGGCATAAAACATGGCAAATATAACAATATTTGTGATTAGTCAAAAAGAGCTGAAAATTTTTATGAAATTGCATCTTTAATTCAAGAGTTATCTCCTGTTTAAGAATTTTGCTTTTAAAATGTTATATTTTGGTAACAGGGATGTTTCAAATATTAACTTTAGAGTGTCCTTCAGTCCGTCTGTCTGTTCATATAAACTGTTTCCTGTGATCACTTTTAAAGAACTTTTCCAACAAATTTACTTAAGATAGAGAAAAATTGAAAAATTAGTGAATGGCCCTTCAGAATGTTGATGGGGTTCTAACCGGTAGGGGACTTATGGATTGCTTGCAATACTATGATAATTGCTTGTTTATTATTATTATATCTTTCCTGTTCAACAAAGAAATAAATGAAAACAGGTCGCGAAAATATGTGACAAATGTCCGTTTACGCATTTTTTCCAGTAAGGTTTAAGTATCTTAACTGTAACTAGGAATAAGCTGGAAATACAATTATTATTTCTATTGTTACAGTTGGCAAATTGTTACAAAATAATGCTTTTAGAAGTGAAGAAAGGTCATTAAAATAATCTCTAGACTCTTCATTTTTTCTAGCTTAAGGTCTTCAGCGTACCCGTTTATATATATGACATGACGTGAACTATGCCGCATCTGATGAAAAACAAAAATGTTAAAAAGCGGCTTATAAAGTTTTGGAAGCCAGAACTACATTTTTTCTAGAGGTCATAAACACGCCGTCTCTGTTTGGGAAAAAAACAGTGCATTTATGATAATACTCACAGTGAATTTCACCGATTGCAGCTTTGAAGGTCTTCTTCTGATAATTTGCTTGGGCTATTTCACCTTCCTCGTTGTATGTCTTTATTGGGGAGACGATATCAGTTCACTGTCGATATGAGACGAAGTGTCTGCCGTCTTTGAATATTGCGCGCACAATAAACCTGTGTTCTACGTAATAAACATGTGTACTACGTCAGTAACATGTGCTTGATTCGCAAAATTTCGTGTAGTTCCGTTGTTTTTGCCGTCAATAAAATGACTGAATAATTTCAATTATATCGTTGAATTTTATTTCACAAATCTATTATTTTAGCCCAACAAGCGCTTGAATTTCATACAAAGCTACAGTAGTTTCCAAAACAATTGTGTTGCTACGTCATCAGTATACGTATTAAATACGTCAAGAAATTATGCTCGTCTCGGTTAGCGTAAATATACGGAAATTGCTCGAGTATAATCGTAAAGGTTCGCTGGTTAAGTAAAGACTAAGTTATCATCGTTAATTTCCGTCAGCATAAATATGACCTGCCACATATAGGCCTACTTTAATTCAGGCGGAGATTCGGGTTTTGACTCGTGAAAATTTGGAAATGCACAAATTTGACACGTGAAAAAATCTGCACAAGAGTCTATTTGCCACATGGGATTTTCAACTATGCAATAATAATCACCTTAAATCCACCCCTAATTAGATCTACATATGTTCAAATCACAATCAATAATCAAAGCGCTGAAAGCACTGATGTATTCGCTGCGCATTATAAATGCATATGTGTCTTACTAAAAACGTTGCAATTGTAAAGAATAAAGGAATATGGGCCACTGAATTACAGATTATTAATCTGATAGAGACATTAACACTGGTTGTTTATTTACATTGAAAGAGGGAAAGAAGTAAGAATAAACTAAATGAGAACAACTTTATTACATTATCTAAGTGGTACAATAAAATATACATCCATAATATGAATGCATGCAGTACATTCATGACTAGATCCTTAACATGATGAGAGAATTATGTTATAATGAATATATATATATATATATAGTAACAATACCTAGAATACTATATTGCTACATAAGCTTCAAATGTAATGACAGACAGATTACCTAGCTAAAGCATTTCAGTTTTTCACATGATGAAAAGTGAAACTTGGAACATGTTAATTTCATGAAATTTAAGAAGAAAATATAGGTATTTTTGTAAAATACTTTAATTTTAAAAATTTCTGAGATTAAAAAAAATACAAAAAAAGTACTTTTAATAGTTTGCGTAATAGCCTGTAACTGTCAAAAATAAATTTTAAAATTCTGTTATTTACTTTTTTGCAAAGAAACATTACAAATGGAATGGGAGCATGAGGAAATGGCTTTAATAATGCAAAACAAGCAAAATGGCACAATAAGAGAAAAGGATGGTTGTAATATCTAATCTTTTTTTACCTACTGTGACCTTATCATGCAAAATACCAAATTAATTTAAAGCGTTTTTGCACACAGTAAACGAGAAATTTTTGACGTTTTCAAACTGAGTAGTTTAATATGACATTATTGAAATATGGAAGACGGACAGACCAGGAATCTTTGACTGTCTGTAATAGCTGACCTTTTGCTAATGTGAGCTAAAAAATGAGAATACTGATGTCAAGGATGATTCAATAATATCCATATTTAAGAAAACACAGCTTTAAAACCAATTGCAATATTGATAAAAAAAGTAAACAATGTATATTATCTATGCCCCTGGTTAAAACATGATAGAAATATTTTCAGAACCTTTTTACTCACAATAATAATACATGTAATTATAACAGCATTAATAAGTACATCGCCTTATCTAATAGTCTGAATCTTACACAATTTAATGTTGCATGACAAACATTCTATTATAAAGCTTTCAATATTTCAGTTACTTCATACATAATCAGTGTTCTTTTCTAATTAAAGCATATATACAGAACTTGCTAACATGAAAAACAAATTTGGTCACGATAAGTTTATCTCATGTATAAAATTGCAACTTGCTTGCAATTTAAGTAATTTTATTTTAAGATTCTTATGCTAGAAAGTATGGTGATTGCTCAATTTTAAGTCATTTGTTAAAAACATTTTCATAAATCGGAAACACACTCTATAAATGGCTTGGTACTTCATATCAATTGTGAAATTTCTTTTATTAAGAATATTACTTACTGATAAAAATTCACAAAATTGCAAATACAATGTAAATCTAAAAACAATGTTACATAATTAAGGTATAATCAAGTTATATAATGATTAAGACAATGGATTGAAATGATAGAAAAACAAGCAAAGTAAAATGAACATAAAAAATTGTATACATGTAACACTATTGACCATAAGAAACAGTTAAGTCAAACAAATGTAAAAGTTATTAAACATTTAAATTTGGGGTGTAGTTTCATGTTTCTTCGGAAATTGAAGTCAAAATAGTTCTCAGAAATCAAATATTTCTCTGACAAAGATAGAAATGTTATGAGCATGTAAACCTCCCACAAAACTTTCTGATATAACTCTAGTGCAATCACTGTTTGTTTTTACTTTGACTAGAATCAAAAATGATACCTTTGTTTACAGTTTGTGTCCACAATGATAATAGCATATAAATAAATATTATCTTGTCACTTGTGCCTGGTTATATAAAAAAAAACAATTTCTAATAAAGGAATGTACAAGTTTGTTTTGCATACATGTATGTTAAGAACAACTTAAGCATGTAAATAAAAAGTACTGGGAACATGGTATTTTAAAGGTATTATAAGTAGATTTCAACAATAATAAATTAATGATTTCAAAATTAGAAGAAAAAAAATGGGTCAAAGACAGAAAAGGCCGGGTTGCATTTCTATACCAAATATCATGATGCTGTAATGTTTCGAAAAAAATTTACCACTGACCATTAATGTGGAAAATTTAACTAAGTCAGTTAACAGGAAGTGGATGAGTGAAAGACTTGAAATCAAATCCCACAGTATGAGACCATGTGTCAATGCTGTTTGTCAAATATCAAGAGCCTGTGATAAGTAGTTGCTAAAAAAACTGTTACAAAAATTTCTTACCATTGACCATTAATGTTGAAAATTTAACGGTAAACAGGGCGTGGTGAGCGACAGAGCTGAAATCAAATCCGACGGTATGGGACCACGTCAATACTGTATACCAAATATCAAGAGGCTGAGATAAGTTGGTATGGAAGACAAAACTATGAAACTAAGAACATTTGTTTACATAAATTCCATAAATAAGTTCAAGGTGGGGGGGGTTATTCTGGAAATAGTCATGCTTATCACACAACATATGTGTAATGATAAGAAATATAAACAAGAGGGCCATGATGGCCCAAAGTCGCTCACCTGTATATAGGCCTCCCGGAGCGGGGCCAGTTTAAACCCCAGGGCTTTTATTTGAACAAACTTGGTTGACACCCATTAGAAGATGTTTCATGCTAAACATCTAAGGTCTAGCTTGTTGGGTTTTTTAAAAGAAGTTTTTTCAAGTTTTTTTCTTTACACATATAGTTAAAAACAATGACACACCTGGGGCAGGACCAGTTTTGATCCCAGGGCTTTTATTTGAACAATCTTTGTAGACACTTACTAGACAATGTTTCATGCTTAATATCTGAACTCTAGCTATTCAGGTTTTTTCGAAGAAGATTTTTAAGTTTTTGCTATACACATGTAAGGAAACTGAATGACCCCTGGGGCGGGACCAATTTTGACCCCAGGGCTTTTATTTGAACAAACTTGGAAGACACTCACTAGAAGATGTTTCATGCTTAGTATCTAAACTCTAGCTATTTGTTTTTTTTTTTCAAAAAAGATCTTTCAAGTTTTTGTTATATGCATATAAGGAAAATAAATGACCCCCGGGGCGGGGCCAATTTTGACCACAGGGCTCTTATTTGAACGAACTTGGTAGACATCCATTAGAACATGTTTCATGCTAAATATCTTAGCTCTAGCTCTTTCCATTCTTTAAAAGAAAATTTTTAAAGTTTTTACTATATGCATATAGGGAAAATCAATGACCCCCTGGGGCGGGGCCAATTTTGACCCAAGGGCTGTTATTTGAACAAACTTGGTAGACACCCATTAGAAGATGTTTCATGATTAATATCTTAGCTCTAGCTCTTTGGGTTCTTTAAAAGATTTTTTAAGTTTTTACTATATACATATAGGGAAAATCAATGACCCCCCATGGTGGGGCCGATTTTAATTCTAGGAACAAAATTTGAACAAGTTTGGTTTTGGACCTATAGATGATACCATAGACCAAATATCAAAGCTCTAGGCCATTTTCTTTCAGACCAGAAGATTTTTCAAGTTTTCACTTTATGTATAAAATTATAATGAAAATCAATGACCCCCCGAGGGCGGGGCCAATTTTGACCTGAGAGCCATTATTTGAACAATCTTGGTAGAGGTCTACCACACAATGTTTCATGCCAAATATCTTACCTGTAGCCTTTGCGAATTCAGAGAAGAGGATTTTTTATGTTTAACTATAAACATATTAGAAAAACCCATGACCCCCCGGGGCGGGGCCAATTTTGACACTAGGGACAAAATTTGTACAACTTTGGTATTGGACCTTCAGATGATACCATAGACCAAATATCAAAGCTCTAGGCCATTTACTTTCAGACCAGAAGATTTTTCAAGTTTCCACTATATGTATGTAATGAAAATCAATGACCCCCCGGGGCGGGGCCAATTTTGACCATAGGGCCATTATTTGAACAATTTTGATTGAGGTCTACTACACAATGTTTCATGCCAAATATCACATCTGTAGCCTTTGCCAAATCAGAGAAGAAGATTTTTTTAGATTTTACTATAGACATATAAGGAAAAACCTATGACCCCCCAGGGCGGGGCCAATTTTGACACTAGGGACAAAATTTGTACAACTTTGGTAGAGGACCCATAGATGATACCATATACCAAAAATCAATGCTCTGGCCCATGTACTTTCAGACAAGAAGATTTTTTAATTTTGTGCTTTTTGAAATCCTTCTCTGGCCCTATGACCTACATGTACATATGCAACAGACCAGAACCATTTGAACAACTTTGAAAGGGGACCACCCAAGGATCATTTCTGTAAAGTTTTGTTGATGTGCAGTCATTGGTTTCAGAGGAGATGTTGTTTATGTTAAAAGTTGACGACGCACGACGGACACAGGGCCATCACAATAGCTCACCATGAGCATTGCTCAGGTGAGCTAAAAAGTAAATCAAATTACTTATAATATTTTTTTAAAAACATCCTAAGTTCAAAGGGATATTAACCTGAAAATATTGCTTTAAGAGTTATGAACCTAATCACATAAGATTAATTGATGATAAGGAATATGTATTTGAAGTAAGAGGTAGATGCCTTTGAAACTAAAGAAGTCATAGTAAAAAATAATATTTTTAAAGTAAAAAAATCTAAGTTCATGGGGAGGTAATTCTTGCAATATTGGTGCTAGTGTTAACAACCTTGTCACATAACATTTGGTTAATGATAAGGAAAATATATTTGAAATATGAAGTTGATCCCTTCAGAAATAAATAAGTAACAGTAAATAATAGCTGTCGGTAGGACAGCAACGCTCTACCATTATAAGTGCTTGATAGAAAAAGAGCCTTGATAATGTAAAATGTTAACAAAACGGCCAAAGTGTCCTTTAAATCCATGTTACTGTTATAGGGCCAAATTTTCCTTTCAATCCATGTTACTGTTATAGGCCTTGAAGAGAGTCCTATTATGCTCTCAAAGAAGAGTATTAAATTTCAACTTCTTCCTAGCCAGATGTCAATAGTACATGAAAAAATCTGAGGTGGTATGCAAACTTTAATTAAATAACATAAAATCTAAGTCAGAAAAGGGGCATAATTCTGTCAAAATGCTTGATCCAGTTATCTCCTCCTGTCTACAGGTTGGGGTCATGATGGTGAACAAGTGTGCAAAGTTTCAAAGCCATATATCAATGGACTTTGATATTTGAGATATTACAAAAACTTTAACCTAAGTTATTACACCTACGCTGACACAGACACCAACACTGACGCACTGGTGACTACAATAGTATCGAACAGTCGAGCTAAAAATAACTTCTTTTTTTTGAAAATCTTCAAGAGGAAATTTGAAAATATTGGTGCTAGAGTAATGACCTTGTCACATAAGATGTGGTTGATGATAAGGAACATATATTTGAAGTATGAAGTTGATCCCTTAAGAAATAAGGAAGTAACGATAGAAAATAATATTTTTTAAGGAAAATTCTAAGTTCAAGGGGAGATAAATCTGAAAATAGTGGTGCTAGAGTTATGAACCTTGTCACAAAAGATGTGGTTGATGATATGGAAAACCAAAACTTTAATCTGAATAAGGACGCGGACGCCGGGGCAAGTAGGACGGCTCTCCATATACTTTGTATAATCTAGCTAAAAATGAAAAGTAAGAAAGTGTTTTATGCAGTAAACATTAATATAAATATAAAAGTGATATGGCACTTTTTGTACTAAGAAGCGAGGAATGATATTTTATCTTTTCCTGCATTCTAAATCTATAGTAAATGATATTATTATCGTACCTTTCTTGCCTATTAAATGTATGGTATTGTACCTAACAATTTAGCAATGATGTTCCAGGGTTTTCACATGTTGGTTTACACAAAATATCCATACATATATCTAATTTCTATTATAATACATATATACATTAAACTTTATGCTTTAAACAAAAAAATAGAACTTTTTACAACATTACCATTAGACAGGATTAATTTTGACCCCAGTGACACTACTGAAGTTTTCCAGATTGTATGTAAATGATAAGCAGACTGGAAATCTATACACCTGACAATCTATTTTCCTTTCTTCGAATTTTTCCATGAATATGTGACCATAAGGCTTGGAAATTTTTTTAACAACATAGCAATATTCTGAGGTATCCAATGCATTTCTCTGCTTAACTAGTAACTTCAGCTAGAAACTTTTTAAAAGGAAGTTTTTCACATATTTCCAATACAATTTAGGTGAAACATGTAGGTCCATTGGCATTCAGGGCTTCCATTAAGATCCAAAATTTGGAAGTCAAAGACTGCAAAATGTGACATTGGAAGTCACAAAATATTGGTAAAGAAGAAAAAAGCATTACATTTTGGAAGTCACAAGCCAAATTCAAGGAGTGAAATGACTTCAAAACTTCCATTAATGGAAGCCCTGCCATTACTATGAAAATGGTAGTCTGATGTTCATTTACAAAAAGTGTTTATACCTTGATCATTCAAACAAAAAGTTTCTCCAAAAATTGCGTATTTCTCTTCTAAACAAACAACTTTGCACATTTCAACATCTTACAGTTCACATATATTCGTCTTACATGTCCACAGATATATATACAATGGATAGGAAGCTCAGAAAATAGTTGAAAGTCAGATTCAGATCCACAGTGCGCTTCCGTGATAATCGGGTTTTCCCACTAGTCCCCGATTCTCGCACTCTCGTTAAACTTTGGCGATATCCATGAACTACTGTTTACATTGCCGACGTTGTTTTTTTTAAAAAAATATCTGTGTAGAAAAGTGTGTATGATACGTTTTAACATAAAGAACTATTGCTTCTTATGTAAGTAGAAAATGCTTCGTCATTTTTGTCAATGTTCCTCTTGGAATTCAATATGGCGGTATTTTGGCTACTATTACCCAGGATGCATAAAATCTTGGAAAATCCCGAAACACATGATAACTTGCGTTAGAACAACCCCAATAATACTGAATTTAACTGTATGACGTCTAAGTTACTTCTCCATCTATATTAAGCTCCATGACATGTCCAATCAATCAGTAAATCAATAAGTTGATTGATCATTAGAACATTCAATCAACAATTTGACAATCAGAGAATGAATCATCGAGTCAATGAAATCGAGGAAATCAACACTCTGAAATTAAAAATATTACATCAACATAAAAATAGAGTTAAATCAATTTCATATGTCTGAAATGCATAATTATCATTTAAATAAAAACCTCCAAATTTATGGTCAATTACAATAAACCCATTAACACTTTCTATATGATCTACGTAAATAACCGAGGTATGTCGAGTGAAAAAATATGAGTTGCTTCCCTTATCTTCGAGTAAAATTGATATCTCTTATGCTTTAACAAACCGCTAATTTCTTCTGATTAAATGTCCGATTTTAAAATGTATTGCACTAATAGGAAACGTTGGATCTTAGCTTCGTCACAGTATATTCTTCAACACATCTTTTGACTCCACAAAGTATTCAAATAAACAGTTAAACCTACCACATGTCAGACCATTTTACATACGATTTATACAGTGAGAAAACAACCGGTTATCTTTATTCCTAAAACTACTGATAAGAAAAGCCTCTCGTCTGCTAGTTCTGAAAGTATTTATCGGTGTATTAAATATTTGCAACACATTGAACAGCCTACTTAACCTGTAGGTATATTAACATATAATATAGCTATATGCTTTCTATTGGCCGCCACAATCATAAGTTCATTTAATGAAGTTATTATAAAATACATCATAATCATAAATAAATTCTAAACTCACCAGTTCGTGGAATTGAATGTACCAATAATAATAGCATTATCTTCTTCAAACACGCATACTGTCAAACTCTCTCTCTGCTGTAACTTCTGCAAATATAATAAACACAATGTGCAAAGTGATATGAATAAAATGTGAGATTAAGTAAACAGAGAGCTAGATTAACGGATTTTTCGTAAAACAATTCTCAAAGGTTCCAAATCACGAAAACTGATGACATTTCAAATCAGACCACACTCATTACTTAATTAAAAAATCATATATGACATACACTCTATAAAACACTAGTTTAAACCAAATGCAACTCAAAATAATACTGACCAACTATCAATAATCCATATTTCCAATATATTAAGAACACTTATGAACTTTTTACAAACAAAGCCGCTTAAACATAGACAAAACTAGTGATATTGCGGGAAACCAAGGGAAACAACTCAAACAACAAAAGATATATATCAAGACACCTGTTACACATCATGAAATCCAAATAAGAATTCCAAAACAGATTACATTAAGTTCAAATAATATTGTAAGTTTTCTGTACCTACTTTTAGAAAATGATGAGATCAGCTTTCACATACAAAAATAGCGTGACGTCGAAAACTTTGTTTTGGTACGAACTACTTCCTTACTCAAAGTTAACGCGAATGAATACTAATGATATTTTTTACTGATTATATCCTGAAACATGCAAATGATATAGGATAGAAATAACACAATCAAAAATGAACTACTGACAATTCAAAATATTATCACTTGTGTGTGACAAGAAAATCTGTGTAGAACTACTTTGCGTTGTTAGGTACCCATTCTTATATTGTAATCCCGCAAATTGTGATAGAACTGTATTCACTGCTAACGCAGCGAATACAAAAATGTCAACAGGCAGTATAAGCCGTGCATAAAGTGCACTGAAGCATGACATCAGTGGATGCAATTTGACAGCGCTAAAAATAGCTCTACACAACTGATAAAAATTACATACTTCAGATGTCAATTATTGATTATTTTCTTAAGGTTTATAATACGTCTTTGATTTACTTGGAGTGCCTGAACATTTGTTATTTCTTTTTGGGTTATATATTCCTATTTAATATCTATTAATTAAATGGCCAATGATAAAATTGTCATAATGCAGGTTGACCATTAAGGTCAATTGATTATTAAATTTCAATTAAATAATAATAATAAAAGTAATCCTAGAAAAATATTATTAAATAGATCTAGATCAGTATGTTGTTTTATTTAAAAAAAGAAAGAAAACATTTTTATTTTCAATTTTATTGTCTTCCTTCTTTATTTACTTAAATTGTTTACTTTCAACAAAGAGAATTCCTAGTCTTTAGGAATTTATGTAAGATTCAAGGAATTTAGCACAGATGTTAAGGATTTTGTTCTACAAGATAAATTCTAAGTAATTCCTAAAGACTAGAAATTTTGCAAAATCTTAAGTCTTAGAAATCTCAGAAAATAAATTACAATTCCTAGTTAAACTTTAAAATACAACAGCTAGTGTCTGAGTTTCAACTCTGTCGCAGGCATTGTAAACTACAACCTTCACATTGTACAGACAAACTATCTGGCTCATGAGTTTTAAAAAAAAAAAGAGAAGACGACAGGGTTTGTTCATGTGATTTCTTTTGCTGCCTCTGGACGGCATGACTCAGTTTGAAAGTAAATTTACACCCCACACCGGTGAGTTGTACACATACAATATTGCTATGATGCACTACAAGGTATTAAGTGAATATTAGTGTGCATGAATTATATTTTCCTAAAAGCATTTAAATAAAACTTGTAAAAACTGCAGCTTCTGTCACAATCTTTTAGCTTAAAAAAATGGTTCAAGAAAATAACTTGTAAAAAATGGTAATGTAAGTATTGTTTAACATCACCATTTATTTTTAAATGTTGAAAAACTTGTAAAAAATGCTGGACACAAGTTTTTTAACAACAAGTTTTTACCCGTTTTTTTTAAAGAACTGCTGTTTAAATGGAATCCTACAAATTAAGATGAAGGGCAAAAAATTGTAAAAAAGGCATTTATTTGAAAAAACTGCTAAATAACTGCAATATAACTACAAGTTAAATGCCTTTCCTTTTCCTAAGGGTTATGATATATGCATGTATATAATAAAAGAATTACAATGACTTATATATTTTTATTAGCCTGAAACAGCACTTGTAACTTTGCTGTTTTCTCTGCTTTAAAATATCCAAGAGAGAAATTAAAGCTAGTGTATATTAAAAAATAACCAAATATTTTAATCTCTAAGCTTCACTTCATTATAATTATATAGCCTCTAATCTTTCAAGTAATGAAAACAAATAGGAATTTATTTATGAGTAATATTTTATATATCGTTTATATCAAACCTGCTGTAAAGACCACCTCTGAAATAAGACCATATATCAAAAGATCAGAGTATATAATTTGCTTTGTATGCTCTGAGTGATTTCTCATACCAGCATAGTGTATTACGGTGTCTTATCACATTTCATTTATTTACACATAGTACTTTCATTTAGCTGGCTGATATTTGTGGTGTTATGTTCCATGACCTTTCACCCTTGTGGTAAGGTCAAGGTTACTGAGACTAACTGACCTTCCCCATAATGTAAGGTCATACTTTATGATTTATTTAAGCGACATAAGGGAGCATTCATAAATCATAGCAATATTTGTGGTAATCGGTAATTGCAGAAATACAAAAATTCTTTATTTTTTTAAAAGGCTACCTCTTAGCAAGTACCATTTACTCACATTTTACTTTGTGAGCTAGGCTGGTCTTTATAGAAAGGTTAGATAAAAGATTTTTTTTTACTCATCTCATAAAATGAATGAGGAGTATAACCGCATGTATATTTTTCATTATTGTAGATGGTGAAGATCCCTATCACACGCTAAAATTTGATCGTGAGGATGACCGGCCTAGTGACCAGAACGGCCAACTTGATGATCAGTCCAACGACCAGTCTGCTCAACAAGGGGAGAGCAGTAATGCAATGAAATTTGATCAGTTACCTAGAGGTCAAAAGTAAGTTGATAGCTTTTTTGGTTCCAGATTTCATACAAGTATAGAAATTATAGAAAATAGTTAAGAAAGGGCAAAGTAATTTAGAAATAGGTTTATTTTTTTCTGAAGTATTTGTATAATTTGAAAATACAATTTTTTTTAAAGTGAATATTTATGTATGTGGAAGTGAATATACTTGTATATACTTGATATCATTCTGTTTGAAAAAAGGCTTTATTTTACTGCGTAAGCCTGTGTTAAGGGGTGTTAAAAATGTGGCAGTTTTTCGTTATCTCTCATGTGCAGAATAGATCAAACTAAGTCTGCAGTTCTCTTCCCCTTCCGATCATTTTTTCATTGCTTTAGGGGAATTGTCCCTTCCATAAAATATTCATAAAATAAATTCATTTGCTTCAGTTAAACTACATTTCACTGACCATTCATATGTTTGCAGATTATTCTTACATGTTTTGAACTTATTATTAACATTAATTTAGTCATTTACATTTTTGGAATCATTTTTTTTTTCACAGTAAAACAGTCTTTCTTTATGTTGCAGGGAAGTAATTATGGCACAGTACCATCATGAACATCAAGGTCAAGTTCCCCCAGACCTACCACCACGTGACGAAAAATCATCTAAAACTTGTGTTATTATGTAGCAGAATATTGTCATGAATAGATTGGGACCAGCCTTCTAAAAAATTCATTCTTGTTTTAATACTTATTCAAATACTCAGAATTTTAATTTATAATTGAAGCAATTGATGTAAAAGTTTATACTAGGAGTAAAATATTATGCACAAAATTGTGATGGAAATTTTCCTATTTGACTTATAATCAAAGGTTAGTATTTTTTATAAGAAACTGCAGGTAAAACTGTTTAAAAAACCACCTCTGTTCGAAGCACCTATCTCTTAATAAAAGAATTCTATTTCTCAGTTTAGGTCATAATGTACAAAGGAACCTTCCCTTAAGGGAGCATCAGTGACATGTTCTTCTCATGGAAATTCACCTTTGTTGTGAAACCACTTTACAACACAGACCATTGTTACCACTTTCTAAAAGTGGCTGTTGTAGACAGATTAAGACGTATGATAAAGAAAATTATAACTCTTTCACGTTGAGCCAAAAACAACATATGTACTGGTTTGTACCTGAAAGCTTAAAGAGAAATCTTACAGCAATTTTTCTCTGACATATCCATTCTAAATTCAATAAATGTAGAGAAACCAGTTTCAAACTTTGTACTTTTTGATTTTTTGAGCTAAGGGTTAAAATAAAAACATTAAAGATCATTTAGAAATACTCAACTTTATTTATTTTAAAATGCACAGTAACATTTTATTCACGGATAATGTTGTATTATTAACAAATTAGAATATTATTTTTAAATTATAATTTTGATAAAATTTAAATAGTCATAGCTTTTATTTTCGTAATTTGTATAACATTTTTGTTATTTTTTACTGACATAATTGACTGTATAGTTTACTGCTATTGTTTTTGCATTTTTATATTGAATACACATAGATTAGCATTTAAACATTCTATCTTCCTGCACAGTGAAAGAACATTATAAGCACAGGGACCCAGCACAGTGTTGGGATAGTGTAAAAAAGTAATTCTAGAAAAAAATACAGTACATGTATATATTTTTTTCTAGAATTACTTTTTTACACTATCCCAACACTGTGCTGGGTCCCTGTGATTATAAGGAGACCATAGGACAATGGTTTAAAGACCATTTAAGGACGATTGAGTGGTTAAATAGCACTCCTTGAGCAGTTGTCAAGGATATGCCCATGAAAATATAATATTTAAAGTCTGTTACAAAATATATATCTTGCACCATTAATGTAAAGGAATATACATGTATAGTTTTTATAATGGTGTCAGTGCTAGACTGATGTATTTGACTTTCATAGATAGTTACAGTTGTCTAGCTGTGAACTAATGATTTCCATTTTACATTTTAGAACAATCACATGTTTCAAACAATCTTCGGCTAAGCATTTATTTTAATAAGTTTTCGAACAACTGTGTTTATTAAATTGTGTAAAGAAAGTGCACATAACTTTATGTACTTGGTATTATTTCTAAACAGTTAAAACCCCAAAGTTCACATCCGTAGAGATGCCTGGACCAAAAGACTTTAAGTTCCATTTATGTTATCAAAATGTTTATAAACACTGTTGTGAAAAGCAAGATTATATCTTTTTGTCAACCGCTTTTTCGAAGGAAAAAGGTGGATATAGAAAAAGGCTGTGTTCATCTGTCTGCTGGTCCATCTGTCCACACTTTCCTGGCTGGTCTATAACAATGTAATTTATCATATGTATTTTGAGCAATGGTGAAGACAGTTTTGAAAATGGCGGCCATCTTGAATGAGCAGAGATAATTTTGGGCCCACTTCACTTTTGAAATTTACATGGTCTAAAGATGATTTCCAGAAAGTTTCATGCTTGTATCACCATTTGCAGTATTCTCTCAATTCCCACCTCACTAGTATACAGCCAGGCCAGCCTGCAATGCAGAATGTTCAGTCTAACCAGGCTCTCTACTGCTGCCAGCTCAATTTTTGTATACTCTGAGTTTTCAAATGGACTCTTCCAAATTCAAATATTGCCAAATCCATTACAACATTTCCGCAGGTTGAGGAATATTAATATTTTCTATGTCAATCGGTTTTTCTTGACAGATACTTTTGAGTTTGATTCTTAAATGACCACTGCCTATTTATATTATCTTAATAAGGAATCATTTTTAAGACAATCTCAGATTGGTTGCTCTGTTAATTGGATGAATATAAGTATTTTATGTTTTTTTGAAAAAGAGGCATTTGTCATCATGATCATTGACACAGACATTTTATTATTTATTTTATACATAGTTCATAGAATACACATATTTTTTGTATCTATCAAGCTACCGTCAAACCTGTGATTAAAGGCCATACAAAGGAGAGACCATACATGACCTTTATAGACAAGTGGTCTTAATGCCGAGTTAACTCTGCTGTACCTTTATCAATGAAGGTTTGTTTGCAATAGAATGGTCTTCATTTACTGGGTGGTCTTTATCCGGAGGTGGTCTTTAACATGGGTTTGATTGTAGTCAGAATAAGTATGCTTTTTGAGAAATTAAAATGGTATGTTGTATTATCTTATTTATTCTGTTTTTTTATTGAGTTGATAGAAATTTAACAGTTCCATTTTGACATTTCATTAGTATCTGTTTTATTTTGAAATTGTACTATTGTTAGAGCTTTTTGTATATTATATAATGCTATCTGTGATACAGTAATAAATTATTTCATGTTAGAAATAGGTTGTTAGTGTTTAATGTTTATCTTTCAAAACTTATTATACCCGACAAACAAAGTTTTAGGGGGTATACTGAAGTCAGCTGATGGTCCGGGTTGGTCAGTCCGTTGCAGATTTCTTGTCCGGGACATAACTCTGAAACTACAAGGGGTATATATCTTATTGACTAGAAGTGCTGTGCAAAAGAACCGTAACTCTGCCTTGCCTAATTTTGGAGTTATTCCCCTTTGCTTAATTAACACTTTGAACTTTGTCTGGGACATAACTCTAAAACGACAAGGACTATTAACCAGAAACTAGATCCTATTGAGTAGAAGTTCAGTGCAAAAAAAAAACTAAACACTTCCTTGTCTATTTTTGGAGTATGGTACCGATAGATTGTTTTCAGAAGCACATCCACTTATGCTTGTACCAATAGAATGTTTTCAAAAGCAACGTCCTGTTAGGCTGGTACCGATAGAATGTTTTCAGAAGCAAACATCCTGTTATGCTGGTACAGATAGAATGTGACACGACATTGTATAAAACTATACAGTTATACAAATAATGGTAGTGGTGTTTGAAGTTTAGTAGTAAGTCACTTTGAATTATTAATCAGATCATAGTTCAGCCACCGCATCGTTCCTGGACAAACTGTCAAGCAGTTAACCAATACTAATTGCCGTCACTTTCGTATCGAGTTGATATCTTCTGTACATGCCAGAGCAAAGTTACAGTGCAAATGACCATAGAAATAATTTCTTGATGATTCACAACGAAAGTGACCTGCACCGCGCAACGTAAGTGACCTGCATCGTCCAGGAATCGAACCCCGGTCGCTTGATTCACAGTCCAACGCTCTGCTTATTTAGCTAACCGGACGGCTGTTATACAAATAATCAATCATTTAAGCATAGTTTATATAGTGACAAATGCACCTAAATATCGTAAAAATACACGAATCGATTACTACTACGTGTAGTTTCAGTTTAACATGTATCTTATCGGTTGCAAAGTGCACTGTAACGGAGTTACTTTATTCATGTAAGTTTAATCATTTTCTAAAAAAAACAGCAGTAGATATACAAATATTTTTATGGAAGATTTTGTTTCAATTTTCTTTCCAACGTAGTGTAAGAATAATGGTTTCTTTTGCTTAACGAGTTTTTAAAGGGACATAACCATTGGCTAGTGGCTCAAATTATATAAGATTATATACTATACTATAATAGATGCCAAAAATGTGCAAAACAAATAACAATAAACCAAGCCAAGACAGAATATTCAGTCATAAGATTACGATACACTCGTAATAAGCCTACTTATTTTTTTTTTATAAAACTAATTTGATCAATAAGCAAGCAGGAATTAAATTAGAGTGTTTAGATATTTAAATTAACACTTTAATTTTGTTTTGTTTTACCTGTTGTACGGTAGTTAAATGCATATCGATTACTTAAACAAAGAATGCGTTATAAAATCAATATCCACTTTGTATAATATTTGCTATATCACGCAGTTCGTATTTCACATATCATAGACATGTACACATAACGTCAACAAAGTCTTTCGCAGTATTGTTAATTATCTATTTTGTAGGTTTGTCATTGTAATACTTATAAAGGTGTACCACTGAGGTTCAAAATCCTATAAAATATTCGAATTCTTACGCAGATCAACATTGGGCTTAAACGAAGAAATATGCATCATAAAAATAAAGAAATATACTAAAAAAATATTAAAAATCAATTTTTTAGTGTTCCACTTAACCTGGTTTGAAACGTATTTCATGTTCGGGTTAATTTTGCACATTTGAAAATTATTCTGTAAAAAACTGAACAAGCAAATTTAAAGGACCTGGAATTTGACAACAAAGCTTTTGGTCAAGACCCACAAATCTCGAATAGATATTTCCAGATCATGAGATACTTCTTATAAAAAATCCCCAAATTGAGTTCATTTAAACTTGATTAAAATCTACTAATGAACAAGTACATTGTGTATAACAAATCGTAATAGAACAATCTCAAATTGTGACAATTTAGTCAATTATTTATGCTTTTACAGTAAGTGAATGAAGTAAACAATGGAACATCTACCGCCATTCAGGAAACCTAATGGACCAGTTACATTCGTACTACAGCAACGCACCAAAACTCACGATAGTAGATCTATAGATATAAGGTATATTTCATAATTATATCAAATATTAGCCTTTGATGTTTGCTTAATTATTGTATATCGTGGTGTTTATCAAGTTTGGAGTTCATTGGAGAGGTCATCATGGGAGGGGTCATCATTAGAGAGGTCATCATTGGAGAGGTCATCATTAGAGAGGTCATCATACCTCTCCACAGTGTTGAGAATGTTTTGCTGGCGGCATCCATTTTACGGCATCAAAATGAAGTGAATGAACCTTATTAAAAGCCTTAAATTATTAGAACCAGTCTATAAAATTGTTATGCACATGCTAAGCTTCTTGACGGTAAAAAGGAAAAATCGGAAAACATCATTTACGTTACATTTTACACTGCGAACTATAGTAATTGATTATTGTTTTCTGAATAAAGTTTTATTTAAAGCCAATATTTTGCTGTTGTTCGCAGATGCAGTTGACCGATCAGAAATTCTTACTTTACCAACATTTGATTTGAACAATTAAACAAATCTTGCCCAGCAAAAAAAAAAAACACTCTCAAATTTGTATGAGTGAAACCGCGATGGTCATTGACACGATATGGAACGAATATGTACATTCTTTACTTTAGATTTCAAACATCATCAAGGGTCCATGCATACATGCATATTGGCGTACCGACTTTCTGTCACTTTAATGCAGTGATCTAATCTTTAGTATATTGTGATTCATAAAAGGGTTCTCTCTGTTCTTTTAAATTAAGGTTAATCAAATACCGTTTTAGATGCCATTAATAAATTTTAGAACAAACAATTTGATAATTTATTTCAATAAAGATTAAAAGAATTCAATAACAGATTATGAAATTGTTTTATCCCTAATTTCATAAATAGCATTGATTCATATATATTGCTTCTATTTTTTCTAGCCTCTTCATTATTTGAAACATCACTTGTAATTATTTGATTGTGTACAATTACTTTAAAGGCTTTTCTTTATTTACGATATGACGTTTTATAGCGAAAATGCCATGGAACCCCCAAAGGACACGATAGAGGAACCTCCAAATGACAAGCTTCGCAAAATAGGAGATGCATCGGCTAGAGCCTCGGAATATTACCAAAGTTGCCATCAAGAAAAGGCTTTGAAATGCTATAAAGAAGCTTTTGGCTTATCTAAAGATATAAGTGATGATGAAGTACAGAGAAGCTGTGCGGGTAATGTTGGATCTGCATATATTGCCGTAGGTGAGTATAAAAAAGCATTAAACTATCTACATAAAGCAATGCCACAAAATGACCAAATGGTTGATTGTGTATCAGCTGATCTGTATTACAACATGGGGCTTTGTCATGAAAACATGGGAAGGAAGGAAGAAGCACTGATGAATTTTCAGAAAGCCCATGAAATATACGAACAAGATGGGAGTGACAATATTGGGATGAGGATAAGATGTTTAGAAAAGTGCAAGGAGTTATTAAATATCTTAAAACATTTCCCTGAAGCAGCCAAAGTCAGTAAGCAATTAGTAGATATTGTAAGCGATCAAGATAGGATTGAAAAGGCAGAACAACTCTGTGAAACAGCTGCAGCTCTTAGACTTGCAGGTTCAAATTCAGACGCAATAAAGGTAGCTAACGAGTGTAAGGAAATGCTGATAACAAGCACAACACAAGGAAGGCCTTATTCTATGTTTGCAGGTGAGTCTATGAAGTCGAAAGAAGTCTGTATAATAAAAGCGGTTCTATGCTTATCGATTGTCTATTTCAAAACATAATAACAAGTTTTACATTGTAAATGAGTTGCCGAAAAAGAAATGAATATCCTATGTTAAAAAGTTTTAGGTTAGACTTAAAAAGATATCATATTTGTTTTACTGAAGCCTTAAACACCTCGATGTCCTTTGTTTTTACAAAAGTTAAGCCAATCGATTTGAAGGTAAACTTAAATGCAAGAGTGGATACCGATACGTATCAATACTAACATTAACAGCGTAAGGCATTGTCAACACTTCAAAATTTATATAAACCAAGTTTTTTATGCTTTAAGGAAAGGTTCTGAACGATCTTGGAATAGTTCTCACACAGTTGCACGAATATGAAACGGCGCTCACCTGTTTCAAGAAAGCAGTTGAACACATACGGAATAGTCATGAAAGCGACTTTTGTATTGAAGCTACTGTTTTACAAAACATCGGTGCTTTGTACAATTTTAAAGATGAGTACAGAAGATCAATAGAATTTCATAAAGAAGCTGTCGAAAAACATGGTAAATTTCACTCTTGATCTTCTTTTTAAATGAAAACTGCTTTCTATAAACCATGCTGACAAACTTTAAAGAAATTGAATAAACTTCTAAAGAATATAAAATTAAGCGAGACTAAACAGGAATTTTTTTTTTTTGAAATGCTTATATTATTTACAATTATTTATAAATTAGCTATTAAATATAAATCTCCATCAACATCATTACTATTAGATCACTTATATATGTATAGCTTACACAAAGTTTCTGATTGGCCACTTCTAAAATTTATTAAAATCAAAGGACTGAAGTTGTACCATAATCTAACATTTAAGATAAAACTTGCCTGATAGACTACATGACACTCATTGCACGTGACATTTCAAGCGTTCAGTCTGAGACAGGAAACAAAGAAAACCAGTGTTAAGTAAATAAAACCTCAGGCAAATTCAAAATTCAAAAATATATAGATCTATAGATAAGATAATATTATTTAAGAAATAACAAACTTCATATTTTCAAATTTTCTATTTTCATTAGCGCTTTTAATGCTTTCTTACCAAATCCTCAGGGGAATTTTAATTCAATGTTAATATGCTAAGAAAGCAGCATTAATCCTAAGGGACATTTATCACGTTTTAATATTAGTAATATTAGATCTATATATTATACATATAATTTGATGGCGTGTTTAGTAACTCTTTTTTATTCTTCACGCTTTTGAAACAATCGCACCATTAAATTAATAAGAACTCAAATGATACTATATTCTTGATGATTTCAGCATTGTTGCAGAACAGAAACGGGCAAGGACAATGCTTTGCTAATCTTGCATTTGCTCATGCCAAACTTGGTGAGTCGAAAGAAGCTGAAATAGCATTTCAGCATGCCCTCCAAGCATCGAAGGAGACAGGTATTGCTAAAATAAACAATCTACCATGGGAAATACTTAATTATTTTAAAAACAAATGAAGCAGATCACGGTAAAAAAAAACCCGAAGACCTTGGTTTATAACTTACAAGTTTACCACTTAAATTTTATAAACATGTTTTGATTTGATTTTGTTTGCGATAGAGGTATATTTGGTACTGATATTTAAAAAAAGAAAGAAATAAGACTGCACGGATCTCGCCTTTTGGAAAATGTAATTTCTAAAAATAAATAAACATGTAGTTTGTGCAGACCAGTGTGTTGATATCACTGACACACTTAGGTTTAGTTAGTAATATGAATTAATTATGAAGGAACTAGGAACTTGCCAGTAGAATACATTATTTTTTCTTAAAACTAGAAAAAGGTTTAATTCCGCCACGGGCTTCCATCTAAGAATTCGCATGTTTCGTAATGATAATGTCTCTACAGTTAATACCAATTTAAAAAGTATAAATGGAAACATACATGCTCTACAAACACGACAAATTAAAACTGTTGCATTTTCGATCTGCTTGAGCAATACTCGCTTGTTATATTTCTTTCATTTTCTTTTATAATTATTTTCTTCTTTATATCGCACTTTGTGTCTTACTGAACATACATGTATCAATATGTTTGTCGGTTGCATTCAGGTGACAGGATAACGAAATGGCATGCTTTGGAAGGTCTCGGAGCCATTTTTTATAATAAAGGAGATAAACCACGGGCTTTCGAATATTTCACAAAGGCCCTACAAAACGTTGAAGAAAACAATCCAGCTTGTGAGAGGATAAGGAAGAAATTATGGCAACTATATCATCTCGATAGAGGAATACCTGACCAGCGGCATACCCTTGATGAACAAATCACTGCATTGGTATGTACAAAAAGTTTGTCAATTAGAGAAACATTATTTAAGAAAAAAAGTCATCAAAAAAGATATACTGCAGTACGTTTTTAAACATGTTCTTTGTAAGAAAGTACGTTGTTCTATTATTACTTGCGTAATTCAAAATTCAAAGCATCAGTAAACACAAAAATGTGTAAAAAAAAAAATGACAAAATATTCTTAAATTTCAGGAGTCGTCTTCCGAAGATTCAAGTACTGATTCGGATGATGGTGATGGTGATGATGACGAGAAGGAGGAGAAAGAGGAGTGAAGCAGATAGTAAATGTAGAATAATTAAATGGTATGACAAAGTGATCGAAACTAACAAATTTAAATCTAATTCTCATTCATAATTTTCCTTAAAACAATGTAAATTTTACATTCCAATCTGTGATTATTGTAAAGCTTTAAACAGAATTGTCTAGATTTTGTATGTTTAAAAATAAAATTTGCATCGCATTATGACAAGCATCCAAATTTAAGGAGAATGAGCCAGATTCAAAAAGGAGTAATAAAAGTCATTATATATACTAATAACCAGCTTTATGGCAATTAGCAAGTAAAATGTGTGAAAGTTGCGTAAGCTTTGTGTTTCGGTATGTTCAAAGTAACCTGATATTGTATTGAACAATTTCGTTTCCAAAAAGGAAAATCAGTGTCTGATTGTATTTTTATTTTTCATGCAGTTATATCAAATGTTCTAAATTCCGGTAATAAATTATATTGTATTTTCATTGATTACGAAAAGTGTTTTAACAAAATAGATAGATCGTTTTTGTGGCAAAAGCTATTTTAAACCATATGGTTTTACGGGCTGACTGGTCAGTCACTGAGATGGCCCTAAATGCAGTGTGATTCAAAATTGATAGGAAAACTTATTTATACGAAGGTCCTTGTTTCGACTGTGAGGAAATAAGTATCGTACAGAATATTTTGGATCTAATTTCATTGTTTTCACGAAAAAACGTATGTTCGAACATTATGAATTGAAGCCAATAATTTCCGTCACTACTCTCCACTGTAAGTAAATGTTCCGTTTAAAATTTCATGACCATCATAATCTTAAAGTTCTTTGCTTTACATTAATGCTCAATTTTGGAGCAGACCTTTTATATTATTATGTTCATCAAACTCGTAATAAATTCAGTTTTTGTGTTGACTTTATATTCTATCCACATTGTACAAATTCTTCAATGTTTGGATGTTTGCTTCAATCTGGAGAAGTAGAGATCCCTCAAGAGCAATAGTACAAAGCAAATAGTTGACACTTGCAGACACTCTTTTTTTGAGTCTATTACGAAAATTTGCAAAGTATATTTTGTGTGTGCTTATTATCAATATTAGAGTCATAGATAACAGTATTGAGCACTATTATCTACATATCTATCTATGCTTTTTTTTCAGTACATTAACCTTTTCCCTCAGATAGACGTGTTTTGACGGCTTTTTGTCCCCCACTTTTTGAGGCCCCAAACAGTGAAAAAATGCCCTATTCAGGCCCCAAACACTGTTTTTCGTTTGAGAAATGTTATTGAAAAAAGTGAACACTTTCTCGGCGCCGCCCACCATCAATGTTAAATCAGGTGGTTGTCAGAAGGGTGATGTGCCCCCTTCTGTTTGTGGGGTTTGAAAGGGGGTAGTAGTCCCCCTCATCGCCAAGAAAATTTTAGGCATGTCACAGGCTAAAAATGGCCTCAGGTAACTAGTAACCGACGCTGAATAGCCTTTTACTCTCTCTCAATTCATTGAAAAGTTGCAGCACTTTGAAATCAGTTTTGATGGACAAAACAATGCAAAATAGTGATTTTTGGCAATTTTGAGACGTCCCCCGTTGCCATGGTAAGAGGAAATTTACGATTGAGCATGCTGTTACAGAGGCAATGGTCTAGTCAACATGTGTGCCAAGTTTCATTAGTATTGAAGCATTTTTCATAGTTTCATAGCAGTTTGAACTTGTTACAGGAGGCATTTCAATGAAAACAGCCATTTTTCGCAATATGCTCATGGGGTAAAAGGTTATTCAAGAAACACCTGCCCAAAAAGTGATCTTTAATTTACCCCTACCTCCACCGAGAGTGATATGAATTATATAATTCAAGAACGAATAGAACATTTTGAATTAAAAGTTTTATCACGGTGATAGGGCGTTAAACACAACTTTCCGTGGAACGCCAAAATAGCATACTGACCGAAACACCGTATCTTTCTGGACAAAATAGTAATGGCGGGCAAATCTAATTGAAGGAAATAGCTTATAAATTATCTTATTGCTAGACATTGCAATATTATTCCAACTTTTAAATTTTGCCATCGAATATTTGAAACAATTAATCGTTAATGTGACACATCACAATTCGCAAAACATCACATATTTCGAAAAAATAGTATTTACAAAATGTCGTGTGGACCTCAACGTCACAAAAGCCTGTGCCGATGTGTTTTTGTTATGACCTGACGAGCCCGTTTACATATGATGGTAAAAAATAAATTCAAGTTCCACACGAAAGGATGTGTTTTATTGTAAATTTTTTTGGAATTATGGCGAAAAAAGCGTAACTGACACAATTATTGGAGCACCACAAAACACTGAATTTTAACACTGCATTTTAATTTCATTAAACTGATAATTACTGGCATTGTTTTCTTTTGCACATATTTGATAACTTACTGTAGAATCTACTTACAAATTTGTTTTATTTTATGTAAAACTGTTCACATTCCGTTCTGTCAATAAAATGTTTTTTAATCTCCCTTTTAATAGGTAGAAATAATATAGATTGCCTTAGTTCACCAAAAGTATAGCGAATATTCACTTTCTGAATGTGATTTTAATCAATTATAATACTTTCGTAGACAAGATATGCCTTTAAAACTCTATGAAGGTTCGTTTTAATTTCTTTTGCAAACTTCTACTGTCAGGTCGCCAATTTCACAAAAATAATGAAAGTTTTCTCAAAGTGATTTTTTTTTCAGTTTATACATACTTAAAATAATTTTTAAAAAACCCCAAGAATTGTCTTTAAAACTTCGTTAAATGCCGTTTTAATTGTTATTGTTTCTTTTAAAACATTTCTACAACATTAAATTTTTTTGGCCGCTTCACAAAATGATAAAATAAAAAGCTTTCTAAAAATGATTTTTTTTCTCTGTTTACATATCTTTCAACTAACTTCTTATAACAACAATCGTCTTTAGAACACCATTAATTGCCATTAATTTATCATTTCTACAAAATAAAAATTTTAGGCCGCTGGGTCATAGGCCGCCAACTTCACGCCGCTAGGTCGTCTCATAGATTATCCAAATATGTACTTTTGGAAAAATTTCACCATCCACAAATTTTTTAATGTATATATTACAGTGTCACCATTAAATACCCTGGAGAAGTACTTGACAACTAGAGCTAATCAGAGGTCAATTTTAAATATTTTAAGCAAATGTTTTATCTATCAAATAAAGAAATAAAAACGTGGGTTGACATTAAAAAAATATTCCCACTAAGTAAGGTACATTTTTTATATCTTTTAAGTATATAAAAGCTTCAAAATTGACAGGTATATAGCCAATTGGCGTCATGATGTTGTAAGTAGAACCATTTTCAAAACATTCTAATCTAATCAATAGGAAAATCTAACAAATTAGGACAATTATCAAAATGTTGACGTTTACGAATCGAATCTTAAAATTATTTATTATCTTGAGAAAGGCAGGGTTTTGTGAATTAAAAAATGCCGCATCTCATCGGAAAATTCACTTAAAGTGAAGCTTTCACAGGGCCAGAAATTTGTTAGCAGACACTTGTAGATGTTGAACATTGATTTTCTCGAACACAGTTGGGATAATTATGTTAAAAATAGATAGATTATTACCGTCTGTCAGTTATGTTTATATACCGACATGTATGTACTAGAATTTAATTGTTCGGCGTGGGGTATATCGTATTTGTTTGTATCACAATATTTTTATCCTTAATACAATCTAAAACATACCATTACCCTCCCTTAGGGGTCATTGACTTTCATGTTATTGACTTAAAAAAACAACGCAATGTCACCACACTGTAACAATTCGCCTACCCCAGCGGTCATAAATTTTCATAGGGTATTATTATTTTACATCAAACAACATTTCCTAAACAGTAAACATAAAATTTTTTTATTTAGGATTGGTCGTCAAAAAGAAAGTACTTTAAAAGGCCAAGGACGTAGTTTGGTTTAAATCTATGCGAAGACCAAAGTCTAGCGGACTCTGCTGGCTTGTCCTACCTTAAACGATTTCTTTTTCTCTAGACGCTGGGGTGCGTTTAGGCACATGTTTGATAAGAATAAAAATGTACAAAGGACTGTTAGAAAATGCAACACCCATAATTTATTACCGTAAATCTATTATATAATATCTTTCCTAGATAATTATAGGCTGGGGAAACTACGCTCTATACTACAAAAAAATCTGAAGTAGTTCGAATCTGCTGAACAAGATGGCATTATTTTTTAAAACTTGTAGAGGACCACGAGCTGATGCTACAAGCCAAGTATCTACGATCTGGGCAATTGAGTATCTATCTGCAGTGATGATTTTCAAAATGTGCCACCTATATAAGCCTTATCACTAAAATGACGAAAGGGTACCAAGGAATAATGACTTCTATAACTTTGGTAGAAGTCCTCTAGACAATTATCTCTAGGACACGTACTATCATCAAAATTAATTTAAATGAGTTTTTCTTTAAAATTGCGTCGTGCGCTCAACTGAATTATCTCGTTCGCACCACATATTAACTCATGCCCACGACTTAATTATCTCGTTCGCACCACATACTCATGCCCGCGACTGAATTATCTCGTGCACACGACATATTAACTCATGCCCATTACTTAATTATCTCGTTCGCACCACATAGTAACTCGTGCCCATGACTTAATAATCTCGTGGGAAGGACTTAATAAATCGTGGCAATGACATAGTATCTCGTGAGCACCATTGAATTATTTCGTTTGTATGACTTAGTAACTCGTGGCCAGGATAAAGTACATGTATCTCGTGCGCACGACTAAGTAACTCGTGGCCACGTCATAGAAAAGTATGAAAGAAATAGAGAATTTGTTTGTTTCGTATACAAGATCAATTTATATTTCACTCGTAAACACCAGCTCTTACATCTTCAATCGTGGCCATGTCACTAATAAAAAATATATATTTCGATCTCACATGCAACACAAACAAAATTTAATATCCTCTATTTTAACGTTTGATAATTTTTAAGCCACCTATCTTATCAGAACGCTTTAAATTAAATTTTGCTGTGACATAGACTGTTCATGGCACCAACATGATGTGTGTCACACAGCAACAATTGAAGGCCCATTACGGCTCATATTTTTTTTTACTTCCCAAAAGCTTTTATTTTATTCAGGTACTGTATATCAGGTATATTTTTATAGTATCAAAATGTTACTTATCGGCCAATTACCAGAACCATTATATTCATCTGTAGTTTTTTTCGCAATCAGTACAGTAATTATAGAAAAAAGTATTTTATATGGAAGTCAAATTATCGTTTGTTTACATTTTGCTACCT